TCTCTCTCTTTCTCGCTCTCTCTCTTTCTCTCGAATCTAGGAGCCGAACAACATTTTCGTTTCTTTTCCCGCGAACATTTCGGTAATAATATCATACACGGTACGTATCCGAGTCTATTTGTTTAAAATACGTACATTGTACAGTTCACGGTGTCGGCGAGTATTACAAACAACTATTTTTTGGTTTAGAATCATTCTCAAGTACATTGTGCACAGACCACTCTGTTGGATGTACACAGACCATCGTTGATTACAACACCATTCTACGTGGTACATATGATTGATTCAGTTAATTTTAACGCATATGGCACCAACAAGGAATATGATTTAATCGTAACGGTGGGTTATGGTGGCGGAGGTCTCCTCTGAGGCTCGGGGGTGTAACGTAGTCGGGCTCGCACATGTTGAGGACTACCAGGCACGGAATTACTTTCCGACAATCTCCTTGGGGGAGGTTGAGGCGGCGAAGAAGAAATATACCTTGGCGAAAAGAAACGAAAACACAGAAATCAGTTTCACTCCGGCAAGCCTGTTTACGGGTAAATGAAGGTAGTACTCTACTACCTTCGTGCAAAGGAAGGAGACGCTTGATCGACTAAATTCCTTCTAAGGGCAAGAGGCGATTCACCGCGACTTAATCTTGGAGGTGGTTCCGGTGAAGGTGCACGTTCACTTCCGAGCCTGAGGCGGACGTAAGAAGCAAAACGTTTCTTGGCGGATTCCTTTGATCCGCCCTGAGCTGGTGGCATAGCGGAAGGAGAATCTTGCTTCAACTGGTGTGCAAAACGGGAGATTAATAACTCGGGACTGGTAGACCCATGAGATCCTTGCGGAGGTGGTTCGGAAGGAAACCTGTAGTCGAACAGATAGGAGAAGACAGTTTAACGGAATTAACGTTGAGAACTGAACGGAATATTTCCATCGATATTTACCTTTTACGACTAATCATGGGACTACCATAGATATCCTGCGCCTGTGGATGAGTCTGCGGCGCGGGTGGAGTTTGCCCTAGTCGTTGTTGCGAAAATGGCGAATATCGACCGCTTTCTGTTGGTTGTATTACGTTCGGAGGATCAACGTTTTCTCGCCTCCATGGTGAATAGTCCCGAGCGAATGGACTTAAAGATCTGGGAGCACCTTGCCATCGTTCTTTGCTGGTGTCCCGCTCTTCCGTGAAGCGTCCGTGATACGGTGAATAGAGTCTACTACTCGCATCTGTTGAATTAGCGTCTTGCCTATAAGGAGAGAACGGTCTTCCTTCTTGTCTACCTTGTCCGTTGGTAGAACAATGATTCGAGGTATAGTCTCTGTTTTGTTCGACATGTCTATACGGTGAATACGATCGTTGAAAATTCGTTTCCGATGTGTCCACATCATTGGACGAAGGAGGAGAAAACGGCCTGGAAATTTCCTTTCGTCTAAGCGCGTATGGACTATAAGATACATAGTTCGCACCATTCTCACTATTTGATCGTTGATGAAATGGCAGAAAACTGGAGTTCTGTGAGTCTTTGGTGACATTGCTTCGCAAGAAAGCTGGTACTTCAGATTGAGCCCTGAGATGAGCTGTTTGCTTTAGAGATACATGACCCGTGACTCGTTGCTGCCACCCTGGCAATCTGAAACTGAACGGCACAAATATTAAAACTATAATTTCATGTGAACGTCAGTCTTGCAAATTATCGACTCCCGGCAAGTGACTTGACTGATTTTGCGAATGCCACTGCTAATCCAAGAGAATTGTATATGATGCTTCTGTAAAAAACTTGAGTTCGTAGAGAGTTAATAGAAGTTAGAGCGTTAATCATAGTATCATGCAACACAGATGAGGATAGAGGAATCTTTTTAAAGGTATAAAAACATAAAAACTATCTGTGTTGAGAGAACTAAAAGATTGAGAAATATTACATGCTAAAACTATAAATGAAACGATCGATTAACATATCTTAACGCTTAAAACAAGGACAATAATGCAAAATATAAATGAGCTACATCTTCTTGATGAATGGAGTGTGCACAGGGAAGAAATTCTTTGTGCCACATAACCGGCAAGTCGCTATATAATATAAAGACAAATAAACGAATATTCAAATAAATAAAAACAATGCTTACCATGAGTGGGGGTTGAAAGGTGGGGTGTGTAACAGGCGCGTGCACAAACCAAACAACTCGAAATGAAAATCGGGCAGATTTTTGGATATTTGTGAGGTTTATTTTTTTTAAGTTTTTTGGAATTTTTGGGTAAGTTTTTAGGAATAATGGAGTGAGGGGCAGGGGCGAGGGAGAGGGGATGCTATGCTGCGCTGCCTCCCTCAAGCTCAACGCTGCAACACAATTCAACACGCACGCAAACTTTTAATCGAAAATGTATGGAC